GTAAGATCTATGGTAGATCAGTTTGAGGTTGGGGAACCTTAACCGAATAGAGTGCTGGAGATAGAAGATCTTTTAAAGGCACGTAGGTTAGAGGGATGGGGACTTCGCTAGGCTCACGGCTCTGCCCTCCGTGAGTTTAGGGGAAGAGAAGTCCCATAGGTCAATTACAATCGCCATGGGAGGGGTACCCAGGATAAGAGGAATATTTCCTCGTGACTATGCCTGGGTCCCCCTACCAGGGCCCTCCCCACACCCCCGTAAGTAATATGGTAAGTATAAGTAGAGTTATAAGTTACTTATTGTATGAAAGCGGAGGTCGTAATAAATCTTAGAGATGGATCTTCTGTAGATAATGATTATACTCAGTTAAGATTGAATAAGAAAATCAAAGGAGAAGGTTTGTAATCAAACCTTCTCACAAACTAGTTCATAGTGAACTTAAACTAATCTCCTCCTCGTAGGAATGGACGCATATCATCTGGTAAGGGTGCTGTCTTCTTTGCTTTGGGAGCAGGCTGTTTCCTCTTGTTACAGGCAGGTTTGACATAGACAACTGAGGGGGTATCAGAGACATTATTGGAATCATCTTCATCGACAGGATCAAAGATGGGATCATCGTCATTGACAGGGTCAGTAGGTGGTCCTTTCCGTTTCTTGGTTGATTTCTGAAGTTGAACTTCGTGGTCAGACGTGATTGATATTCTTCAACGGCTATCTGGCGATGGTTGAACCATCCCTGGGCAGATGACTGGATTTCTAGTATGAGTTGTTTTGGAAGGGGTTTTAGACGCAAGTGAAGAGGACGGCATATTGATCAAAGTCAATGTTGGATAAGCAATGGAAAAACTGAAAGGATGTGATTGTAATGAGGATGATGGTTGTGATATTAACTAATGATGTTAAAGAGAGAAGAGCTGATGTAAGTGAAAAATTAAAATGTAAATGAACTGAGGAAGGGGATGAAAGAAACACATACTCTTTGTAAAGCACACAGGTGGTGGTATTTATGCCGTTCCACCCCTTTACCCCCTGGCTTGTGATGTTCTTGAACAATCCAAATCATATTGATTTGTCTTCTTTGGGATATTAGCGACGAACTTGTTGAGGATTGGGTGAGACGAGCACAAGAAACCTTTGCCCAATAAGGATTAGTGCGGAGAAAAAACCCGGGGCCGTTACACCGCTTCTTAGCAGTTCCGGGGCGCTAATGGTACGGATGTTAGCGGTCCAAAAAAATCCGAAAATCCTGGGTCTTGTTAGCTTAACTGTAAGCCCAGCAACAATTGCCCTGCTTCTTTGTAACTTTATGGGGCCATGGATCCGTTACGCCGCGCTCCGAAGCACGCAACAGAGGCGTAACTGTCCCAGGGTTGGCACAAACAGGCCAATCTTTATCTCAATGGCGAAGGTCATTTCAGTACATCAAAGAGATGTATGTCATCTTTTTCACCCTCCAGGCGACCTCAGCTACTAACTTTTTGATCCTTATGTACAAAGTTGCACTTGCAATTGATTATTGGGTTGACTTGCCTACAACCCTACAGACAAGTTTACTCAAGAAGTTTGCTATCAAACTACTTGAGATTATAGCATATGCTGCAGGTGTTGAAAGCCTATTTTCAGCTATGTCAGCTACAAAGACAAAACAGCGAGCTGTGATGACCCTCACGAATCTCAAAATGATATTTCAAGTTCAACTTTCCAAAAGCAACAAGAACCCAAACAAGAAATCCAATTCAGTCAAAAATGATGCCAACAAAGAAATTGAAGTTATTGAAGACCCACAAGTAGAATCAACAGAGCTCTTCTCTGGTCAGATGATCTTGAAGAGTTTGAACAAGGAGTGGCCCAATTACAAGAGGAACCTATTCTGGTTGACCCCGCTTTAGAGGCTGATTCTCATGGTGGTTTCATCAGATCTCTGTTGGATCTGACTTTATTTGAGGTTCAAACATTTCATCATGTGGAGTCTCCAGGTGAAAGTACACCTGCTGTTGTGCTCCCGGAGCCAAGCCTGGCTCGCAGCGCAGGAGAAAACGCGCAGCCCGGGGCTGCGCAGCGCGGAGCGCGGAGCGCTGCCCCGTAGCCACCCGGGGGTCAAAACCCTCGCGCGCAGCGCCTCTCGCTGGGGCTGACACGGGGCTTTTTTTCAAGCAGCGCTGCCCGGTGCCAGAGCCGGGTCAGCCACCAATACCGCTAATCATATGCCCTCGCTCACTGACCAAATACCGCCACACCATAACCACCCTCCACCACGATCTCAATACCACCCTCCACCACGATCTCATCTCATTCAAATCACCATCACTCAAGCCATCCTCCACTTCGAGTTGTATTGATATCATATTGATATCGATCGATATGATATCAATACCGGTTGGAAGCATGGTCCGATCACCTTCAGGACCTCGATTCAAGTTGAAAAGGTAAGTCTTTTCACTTTTCTTCCTCTTCCTCATCGATCACCAAGATTTTGATCCATCCAATTTCTAATTATCTGCTCTACATTCTTTCCTACTATTTCCTTCAATTCAAGTCCATCACCACTCAATCAAATCACTTTAACCGTCACATCCTTATCATCCCGTTCTTATAAATCGTTAGATATCTTACTATCCAAATCTGTCATGTTGAACAAGCAACCAACACTCGATTCTTTTGTCGCTTCTGGATACGAGACCGACGACTCGTGTGCCCCCCCTCGTCGATCTTCTCGCATAGTCACCCCAGCCAGACGTCCCGCTGGGATGATCACTCCTAGTTCCGACTCTCGACGGGCCCTAGACTTCAATGGTGGCGTTCGAGATGTCAGGGACGGACATGTCCATCGACGCCGCGAACAATTGGACTCTTTACCTGGTAATGAGTTGACTCGTGAACCAATTAGATGTTGATCGAAGGTTTTTTTGGGTCCTTTGGCTACCGTAAGCACTTCATTTCAATTTACAATCTTTATTTCTTTCCACATTTCTTTCCACATTTTTAACCTTTCTTTTTTAAATCTCTTTTTCTTGATTAGGCACCTAGTCAATCTAATCAAGGACGTCGTGGCCGCGAACGATCAGCCTCATTACCAGGTGATGATGTCACTCGCGATACAGTCAGAGTTCGATCAAAGACTGTATCGCGTCCTTCAAGTTCAGCAACCGTAAGTTACTCACCACTCTTCATTTCGATTTAAAATCGTTTTTTTGCTTGTCACCTTTTTTAATTTATGTCTTTAATACTTTGGCTTTCATTTTATTCGATTAGGCACGCAGTACCTCTACTCAAGAACGTACTAGCTTAGTGAGAGCTGCCGGTGCGAACCTGATTTCTTCAAGGGTATCGCCAATCGAAGCAAATGTTGAGGTAAGTGGACTGTGATACATGTTTCATCAATGACATATCACAAGGTAACACGATTTGTGAATCTGCCTGTGGATAGGTTCCATCGGGCCCTCCTTCTGTGGACTTTGCTCAAGATTCCGACGAAGAGAACCAGCGGATCCGGAAGAGAAAGAGGAATCAGGAGGAAACTGAAGAATTTGATTCCCCATATGATTACTATGGGGCGCCTTTTCATTGTCCAGTTAAAAAGGACGTGGGTTTTTTTATATTTCAACTTTCATTTTAATCTATATCTCATCACTCAGAGCTGATATGAACGAATTTTGTAGCCACTTGATGGACCACCACTATCATGGCCTTGTAAGTATTGTAAAAAGGATGTTTGAGTTAGCGCAAGCTCGCGAAGATCCAACCTCAAGGCGCATCGAGATGGTAACAAGGCACTGGGTAAGTCTGGAGCTGGTTGCCCACGTCGTCAGCAAGCTATCCAGGAAGGTTGCAAGCTACCTCCCTCCGAAGACAAATTACGGGCCGAAAGGCGCAGGCAAAATCATCAGTCGTCCCTCACTACCTTTGTCGACTCGCCACCCCCTTTCTCAAACAAGACCCTCAATCAATTACTTGCAGTGTGGCAAGTTACTCATGCTTTACCCTTCAAACGGATCGAAGACCCTATCCTCAAATCAATCATCTACTGGCTTTGCCCAGAGGCCCGCGTGTTTGGTCGAAAATGGTCCGCTGATGAGGCTAAACATCTGTATGTCTCATTGCGTGATCAGGTTATAGAAAAGGAGCTCAAGGTTTGTTTTTCTTTCCTCAATCTTCAAACATTTATTTCATCAAATTGTTTATCTGACACTTGGGTTTCATCTCGATGCTTTACAGGAACTAGATAGCAAATTTTGTTTGATTCAAGACGTCTGGACCGTCAAGGGAAATTTACACGCCTTTATCGGAGCTTCAGTTGCGTACATCAAGAAAGACTGGACGTACGTGGTTAGGCATCTAAGTTTGAAGGTTGTAGTATGGCATCACCAGGGGCACTTACTCGCGGAGCCAATGGTGGCCATATTGAAGAAGAAGAATCTCTATCAAAAGATGAGTTCTTCCTTTGTGATTTCATTTCATTTTTCTTCGTTTTGACTTGTCTTTTCTTTGCTATTTCATGCTAACATTAAATTTTTGATTTTACATGCTTGCTAGTGTTTCAGATTCTGGAAGTAACAACTTCACCATGGCCCGCGAGATGCAGCGACAGCTCCGGGAAGAAGGTCATAAGTCCGACCATATCTTGCAGTGGGAGCCAAAGTCGATGTTGATTAGGTGTTTCTGCCACAAAATGGGTTTGATTGTCAAAGCAGGTATCGATGCACTCGGAATGAAACCGCGAAGAGTTCGACACGACACCTTAGGTAGATTCCCGCCTGTCGGAGTGATGGCTGTAATTGACGAGGAAGATGAGGAAGTAGTGGAAGAGACTGAGCCTTCTGGGTCCATCAGTGCTGAAACTGATGATGATGAGGGCGATGATGATGACATCATTAGTAATCACAGTAGTGATTCAAATAAGTCCAAAGCTGCCTCCAATCAAGAGACCGATTTCGAAGACTTCGAACAACAAGACGAACCACAAACCTACAAAAACCGGAAGGCTGCTTATCTTCTTGGCGATACTTACATGAAACAACTCACCAATGATGTAAGTTGATTTTTTTGTCTCATTCAAATGTCTCTGACCAATGTTTCTGACTTATGTTTGTATCTTTATGTTATTCAGATGGACACCGTCAATAAAAAACTGACCCGGTCAAGTGGTCACCGGGCAGATTTCAACCGACACCGAGCAAGAGCGAACGTCCAGCTTAAGGCAAACAAGCTACCAGCTCTCAAGGCCCTGTTATCAGGACACGGGATCCGATGGGGTATAAGAGCTGAGCGCTGGGAAAGGATGTGGGCTTGTCGCGATGTGAGTCCTAATTTTATTTCATTAGTTTTAATTTCATTTTGATTCATTTAAACATCAATTTGATTCACGTCCTGTTTGATTCATGATCAGCTCATTGATCAAGTCATGAAGGACGATCTAACTGAAGTACATGCTAAGAGACGTCACCCCAAGAAGAATGGCAAGAAAGGTGGGTATTTTGAGGAGGTAGTGTTCTCTGTGGCAGATTGGCAAGCTATGAGGGACTTATTGGACATACTCACGGTAAGCGTTTCTTTTCTTTCATTACCCTTGTTAGAAATATAATTTATATTGTTTCTTTCTTACTACCTCGTTTGTTTTTTTTCCTTTCCAACAACTATCCAGCCATACAAGTACCTAACTCGAGACATGGAAGGAGATAAACCTACAGGATGTATGGTCTTGGTAAAGTATGGCCAGCTCAAGGCCTCCATGGAGGAACGTTGTGGTAATCAAAATATGAGACCAATCAAAAAATCAAAAAAAATCGAATTTTGAATTACATCAATTATATTACATATAGTTTAATATTTACATCATTTTATCATTCAAACAAACTTATCAAGATAAGTATAAACTATTAACAAACAGATTACAAAAAGAAAGAAAGAAAAAAACATAAGAAAAACTCGAAAATAGAGGTATACAGGTTGGAAATGGTTTTTAGGGTAGTAATATTAGGTTTATGGGTTTAGTAGGGTTGGAATACGAAAGAGGAGCATTGTTTTAGTCAGCAACCACTTTAATCTTGGTGGTTGATAAGAGAAAATAGAAGTTATTAAGGAAATGGGAAAAAGTCGAAATTGGTAAACAAGGGTTAGGCGTGTAGTTTACATATGTAATGGTGGTAGTGATGGAATTTAAGGTTGCCAAGAGGATTTTCCGGGATTTTTAAGGTTATAGAAGATGATGTCATATTACATGAGCAAGGAAAAGGGAGTAGCAGCTGTGAAAAGTGAAGAAAATAGGTGAAAATCGTCGAAAATGGAGGTTTTCAGCTAATTACATATGTCGAATGACGTCAGAATAAGTTGGTAGATGGCTCATTCAACGCAGAAGAGTGGATTACATAATGTACAACCTTTGAATCATTAGTAACGGAGGTGTATGTAAAAAGTTATAAGGGAAATAAGAAATTGGTGTGAATCTCGAATTTACAGTCACAAGACACATGTAACACCAAAAACCTTAACTTCACAACTCAATATCTTACTCATCACTCATCAGAAGTAGGTCTTATAGGTGTCAGAAATGATCAGTAACACGTGGGCTACAAGATGCACTTTAGTAATCAAAAATTGGAGCACATCTGAAAAAATTTGTAATCTCAAAAATTGGGTTTCAGCTAGTTTACAAGGAAAAAATCACCTGTATTCATCTTAAGAAGTGCTGTGCATTACATCATTGCGTCATTGATCACTTTTGGCTGTGAAAATTACATCATACATTAGTAACAAGATCATTACATTGCGTCATTACATGGTTTTTAGGGTTATTTAGGCGGATTTGATTGGTTTTTGAGGCTGTTGATTGTTGTAAAGATTGTTACATGTGGATATAAGTACTCCTTGATGATTTTGGGATTGTAGCGCCCTTTTCTGCATCTTATACCTTTGTTGTAGTGTTATAAATCATCATTTATTTACTATATTTGTACTAAGATCACTTAAATCCGCCCCTTCAAAAGCAAGGAGAAATTTATTTACGTGTGTTAAAGACTACAAGTCTAATTGGGAATAATACTTACAACAGTATTGCTAGTAATAAACATAGTGTGTGACTTTTTTGCGCTTAAAATCTGGGAATAATACTTAACAACAGTATTGCTTTATTTCTCTGGTGCCTTTTATCCTTTTCTCTGTTATCACAAAGTGGTCAGCAAGTGCCCTTGTGCTGGTTTCTTTGAAGAAGGCAGTCTTTAGGCAACTTCTACTATATTACACGTAGTAGATTATCCCTTCTTAGGTGTTGTAAAGCTCTTGTTGAGCTTTAAATACTACAACGGTTGAAGTCGATGCACCAAAACGATCCGCTTTACCCAATGGTCAATATCATGATAGACAAGATTATCATGTACCTGAATGAGGCACTTGAGTGTGATACATTAATTCTAGCAGCTGTCTTCCACCCTGGTCTAAGGGTGAAGTATTTCTCTCATGCGTTTGGAATGGGTGGTGTAGGAAACAACCGAGCCAAAGATTTACTTAGATCAGTTTTCATCAAGAATTGTGACGAACTGGATCTCCAGGATGAACCAGTCACCAACACTTCAGAATCTGAATCCCCAACTAAGGATCGATTTGCCATTGGTAACGATACTTTCCCACAATTCTACAACAATGCCGTGGCCTCAAGTGAACTCGACGAGCTTGATCGATACCTTCAAGGTATTGATCCAATGGTCACTCCTGATGTGAACAATCCAAAATATGTGTTGGATTGGTGGAATGTAAGTTGCTCAGTTGTCATGTTTTATACCTGATCACCCTACTGACCTTCTTCGAATCTCTAGGCAAACTCTGGAAAATACCCGATCTTATCGGTATTGGCTAGGGATTATCTTTCAACCCCTGCAGCATCTGCTGCACCCGAACGATCATTTTCGATTGCTGGTCAAGTTTGTACAGCAGACCGAGGCGGCCTTTTACCTTGCACGATCGAGATGACGGTCAGCAGTCAAATATGGACCTTAGAAAATGTACCTTTGATTGGTGATTTTGTTGGAGTTGGTAATGTGATCAAGTACGCCAAAAAGATGGTTCAAAAGAAGACCCGCAACTCTTATAGTAATTAGTTATAACTTCATTTCACCTTCAAGTTTACCTTATTTTTACCGTTTCTTTACAGTCATTACATTCTATGTTTCCTTTCCTTTTATTGTTTCTGTCTCAATTTTTTTTTCTATTCTCCTTTCGTAACGGTCTTTACACGTTCAAAACTTATTTTATCTTTTCATTACGGTCTTTACAACATACTTTTATTGTTTTTTTTTCTCTTTTTCAACTGGTTGAGAAAATTAAAAAAAAAACATTATTTTTTGGCTTGCAGCGCAGGGAAACGCTGCGATAAGAAGCAGCGTTTCGAGCTATTATTTTGCCAAAAAAAAGGCCCCGCTGCCACTGACACTACCCAGGATTGGGCCTCCTGAAAGGCGCAGCGCTGCCAGTTTGAAGGCTCTCAGCGCTGCGCAGCGCTGCGAGCCAGGCTTGCCGGAGCGTGGAACCCCGATCAAGTCACATTTGACTGATCGTAATGCTGAAATACAAATTTTTGACTCTTTTTTTTTTGCACTGTGAGAGGCCGCGCTCAACGCGCCAGTGGCGCCTAGACGCACCCAATTTTCAGAAAACATGCTATGGTGCGCCCATTGTTCAAAGGCCCGCGCCGCCATCCTGACACCTACTGTGCCACACGTGGTTTCAAGCTTTTTGTTTGTACTTAACGGGCCCACTCCCAAGCCAATCACCACATCACAGCTAAGCCAGCATTGCACTGATTTCAAAGGCCGTCCTGCAGCATCACAGCCGCAAACCAGTGCCCCTTTGTACGCTCCCATCCCCACTTCACCGCGCCTCCCAACGCCAGGACCATACAATGGTTTCCCTGTATCACAAAACATGTAGGTGTTCTGAACAAAACATACCTTGTTGACATGCTAACAATATCTGCAATTCTTCAATTGTTAGGCCTCCCGCTCCATTCCTCACGTCCGCCGTGTTGCCCCCAAACTACTCCCAACTCACAGTTCCGAGCGCTCCGGTCGCATCTACCTCCTTGCCTCCAAACAATCCACAACCTACAGTTCTGGGCGCACCCACAGCTTCTACCTTGGAAGCAATTGTCCGTAACCCATCCAATACATTGGTTGACAACAAACCCACCAAGATCGGTGAAGATATGGCCAAGATGCTCACTTCTGTGGAAAGCATGTTTACAAAGAAACAGAAAAACTTCCAAGCCCTTTTCAGGGAAATCTATGGCCTCCACAACAACTGCCACAAGACAAACAACACCCTCTACCTCAATCGCGGCACTCCCGCCAAAACCAAAGAAATTTTGGCACAGATCCTTGCTTTTTGCAATGAACTTGGTGGCTTCTTTGCTAGTGACAAACAAAAGAAACAGTGTAGATAACCTTCTTGCCGCATCCAGAGTCTAGACTGACCAATTGCCTCTCTCATTTTCATTGTTCCAATAACTCATTTTTTGTACATGTATCATCACTTCTCATGACTCATTCCACATCTCAGTTTCTGCTTTTTTCCATTTTGTGTAAATTTTCATTT